GAGAAGTTACCCAAACAGTTCATGATAGTACGCCCCTGACTCTCTGAAGCTTCTGCAAAGAGCATTAAATCGTCTGCAAAGAAAAGGTGGGAAATTCCCGTTCCACCTCTGGAAATGGTGATGGGCCTCCAGTTCTTTTTCCGAACTTCTTCTTGGATGTCCCAAGAGAGTCTTTCCATAACGAGAATAAAGAGGTAGGGGGCAAGCGGGTCCCCTTGTCTGAGACCTCTCCCCGGTTGGAAGGGCGGTAACTTTTCTCCATTCCATAGGAGTGAGATAGAGCTCTCCCTGACAGAAAACATAATCAAACGAATCAAATTCTGGGAGAACCTGAACTCCACCAGTGTGGACTCCAGGAACTCCCAAGAAATGCTATCATAGGCTTTATGGAGATCGAGTTTGACCGCCATAAGCCCTTTCCTCCCTTTCCTGAGCCGCATGTAATGGACAACCTCTTGCGTAAGAATGATGTTGTCTGCAGTGGACCTCCCAGGGAGGAAACTGTTTTGGTAGGGCCCTATGAGGTTTTTCATAATGGGCCGCATGCGATTAACAATCACCTTAGAGATGATTTTGAAGCTGACATTCAGGAGCGTGATAGGCCTAAAATCACTAGCCGACTCAGGGCTATCCTTTTTGGGGATGAGAGTGATGAAAGCTTCAAGGAAAGTAGGAGACACTTTACCATTGCTGATGGCTTCTCTGACGAAGGAGGTGATGGGGTTCTTAACCTCCTCCCAAAAAGCCTGATAGAAGGCAGCTTGGATTCCATCTGGACCAGGACTACCGAACTTCTTCATACCAAAAACCGCCTTTCTGACCTCGCCCATATCTACAATCCTTGCAAGGCTGCGGATTTGGGCTCCCTCCAGTCTGGGTCCCCCATAGGAGTCAGTCGAGTTATCACTTGTGTTGACTTTCCTGCCAAACAGATCAATAAAAAAATTAGAGATGTGTTCAGAGATCTTGTCAAAATCAGAATTCCACTCACCATCAATTTTTAACATCCTGACCCTGGCCCTATTGCGTCTAACAAGAGTAGATTTATGGTAAAAGGAGGTATTTCTGTCACCATCCTGGATCCACGTACGTCTGGATTTCTGAAACCAGAAAAGCTCTTCTTGTTTAAGAACCTCGTTTAGCTCTGTAATAAGCTTCTTTTCCAAGACTTGGAGACCTCTCGAAGTATTGTAGAAAGGCGATTCCTGTACCCCCTTAATACGTGCCTGGAGCTTGGTCTTTCTGCCATGGATGTTGCCGAAAATTTCCTTGTTCCAAACTTTGCTCTGTTTGGTCACCTCATCAATAGCCCCTGCTACATCTAAGCGATCCTTTCGCCAAACTCCACTCCAAATATCTCTATAGTCATCGCGCGACAACCAAGCCCCCTCAAAGCGAAAAGGTCTAGATTCTCTTCTTGGGGGAATGCCGGCCTCACTAACGAACTTCAGGGGGTGATGGTCTGAGTGTGTCCTGGCAAGAATAAAAGCTTTGGCTTCAGGGAAGTGGTTCTGAGCCTCCAGATTCCAAAGGGCTCTGTCCAGTTTCCTACGCTGTACAGTTCGTCCACCTTCTTGTCTGAACCAAGAATATCTAACTCCTGTAGTCCCCATGTCTAAGAGCCCACAATTATTATAATTTTCAACAAAATTTAGACAGCGTCCAGCGTTAACAGAGAAGCTGCCCCATTGTTCTTGGGTATTTGCAATCTCATTGAAGTCACCCAACATAATCCAAGGTTCTTTAATATCCATGCTACAGGCCCTACACTCCGTCCAAAATCTATCTTTGGCCAATCTGTTAGGTCGTACGTAAGCAAAGGAGACCCGTACATTAACACCTTGCCCATGCACTATCCCATGAATTGCTTGAGAAGTGCTTTTGATTACTGCAAAATTAAAAAGACAAGCTCTCCAGAGGAGCGTTAGACCACCGGCAAAACCTAATGGTTCAACAATAAACTTACTATCAAAGCCAAGAGAGTTAGCCATTTTGTTGAGCTTTGAGACATCCTTCGTTTTAGTCTCAAGAAAACAAATGGCACCAACCTGTTTATCTTTCATCGAAGACTTTGCGTGGTTCACCGTGAGCCGGTTACCCACCCCTCTACAGTTCCACGAAAGGACGATCATTGAGACGGTCTGTGAGCCGAGGAAGTATTTGTACCGCCTTCCTCAAGCGTAGACTGAGTAATCTCCATTTCCCTTCCCGGGTGGTTTGGACCAGAAGAGTTACCAAAGACAAAGACCCTGTCCGTGAAACGGTAAGTGTCTACTGCCGGCGAATTCTTTTTAACGTTGTCTTGTACTGGAAGAAAATCTTGTTTTTTCTTCCCTTTAGTCTGCCTTTTCGGTTGTTTGTCCTTCGGATTTATCTTGTTTCTAGCTGTGTCTTCCACCATGATGGGAGTGTCGACCAACCCCTCAAGATCCTGCAGGCTGCCAAAGGCGTTAGATGTAGTAAGCGAGAAAGATTCTGGCTCCTTACCTGAGACCACGCCGGACGATTGTTCTCTTCTGTTCTTGACTGCTGGAGGTTCTCCATTATCGGCTCCGGGAAGAGGTGGCGGAACGTTATTCTGAGGGTGTTTTCCTCCTTCTGGAGTTTTTCCTTTGCCCTGCTTCCTCGGTGTCTGTTTCGTGATTGGTTTGGCATTCGTTTTTGCACCTTTTTTCCCTCCATTTTTACGCTGGACAATCATCCAAGAACCATGCAACTTAGTAGGAGTGGTCATTGTAATGGCATCCATACTTGTGATGTCTGGATTTGCGCTAGCTTCGGTCTCCTTCTCCCCTCCCTCCATATTAGTATCACAGTTCTTCGGACACGTGGAGGAACGGTGACCAACTTCTCCACATTCAAAGCAGATCAGATGCATACCTTCAAGCTCAACTTTCTGGAGCCAATCTTCAACTTGAACGAGCGCAACAAGTGGCTTGGAGATATCGACTTCCACCGCCGCCCTAGCAAAGTTGCCCCGGTCAACACCCGACGTAGTACGGTCCAGTTTCAGCGGGGTGCCGACTTGTTTTAGGATAATCTTAATTACATCGTCTCTAATGCATTCAACCGGAAGTTCCGGTAATCTCACCCAAACTGCCATCTTTTCAAGCTTCGTTGTGGCCGGCTTGAATCTTGGTTTCCAACGCTGGGCAACGACGTAATGATCGAAAAGTTTCCAAGGGCCATCAGTCAAAACATGCATGCAGTCGGCTTGGAGTTGGAATCTGACCACGAACCAACCCCATCCCAGATCAACAAAGTTGGATCTGCCTTGCAGGTTCCAGATCTTGGTCATGCGTTGTTGGAAGAGGGAGAATCCCACCTGTTTTCCGAGAAACTTGACCAGTAGAGCGTTCTTCCAAGGCTTAAGTATTTCAGCTCTCAGATCGCGAGGCAGACGAACCACCGGAACACCTTCTATGATCGGCTTGGGGTCCCCCTCGTTTTCCGGTTCAGCACAGACCTCGTCATCAAACCAGTTGTTATCTTCTTCACGGTAAACGCCCTCATCGCCAAGGTTGGACGGATCTGTCGTTGCCTCCGCAAAGGATCGTTTTGTGTGCTTAAATCGCTTAAAGGATCGCGGCCCTCCATCTGTCATGACCGTGTCACTACCGCCGGCGGGTGGCTGTGCCACCTCGGCCTCCATCCTCACCAGAAACCCCCGGGAAACTTACCAAATATGGCGCAACCCTAGAGCCGTTAGAGAGGATTCTTAACTTTTTTCTCTTTTTTTACTCATACTAAACACGACGCAAGGGGATCCAAATTCCTATATGAATCTAGCTAGTTATATTTTAAATTGAAACACACACAAATAAAAATGGAAGTCATTGCAAGCTATAACAATTGAATAGAAGAAAATGTAAAGGAAACAAATTAAGTAAACTTAGCTTTAATCAAAAAGAGAAATTGGAGATGCAATATTGAAATTGAAAGTAAAGTTACGTTGAATCTATCATAAGTTGAAAATTGTTTTAAATCTTAATCAAATGTAGATCAATTACAAGGACTTAAATCTTCATCAAATGTAGATCAATTACAAGGACGAATGTTGTTTGAGATGTTTCTTCCAAATTAAATCAAAGAGAGGGAAAGAAAAAAATGAAGAATCATATGATAATGATTGACTAGACCTATTTATATATACCCTTCAAATCGCGCCAAAATAACAAATTTAACATACTCTAGACGCGTTCATGTCGGCCTGACTACCGGGGTTCGATCCTGTGACTTTCCCTCAAGGAGCTGAGAGCCACAGAGAGGTGTCAATTGAGCAAGATGCTTGGCAATTCAATTCTTAAGGGAGTTAGGAGTTGCAATTCTTGAAATAATTGAGAAATTATAATTCCTCTTACTAAACTGTAAATTTTTTTACTTTTTGAAATTAAAGTGAAAAAAGAAGTGCAATTTTCCCCTGCTAAATATATTGTTGTTTATTTCTTAATAAATTAGGAGGTAGATGTGGAGATGCACAAGAAGCTAAGCAAAACGCATATACAGTAGCTGGTAAATGGCAAAGAGTGGTCCAATGTTACGTTCTCAGGCTATGTACCTTTTATATATATCTCAAACAACTTTAATTTAGATATAGTAGTAGTAGTAAATCTGTAAATATTTCTTAATTAAAGCTGTGCACATACACACTACACTACAGAGTATGTGACAGTACAGGTGCAGGGAGAGAGAGAGGCATTTTGCTTTGGGGATGGGAGTGGGGAAAAAGTGAAATGAAGATCGAGGGGGAACCAGTAGTTCACGCGTGAATGAAGATGTGGGCTTTCCATTATATTCTCAAAGCCCAATGCTATGCTAGCTAGGTACCTGTTGCATGCAGGTGATCTGATGCAGTAATGAGTAATTCTGGCATGCATGGTCGGACATAATATAATAGCTAGCTTCTTTTCTTTTAATTTGTTTGTTAGGTATTACCCAGGCCATATTATTATATATATATTACATTGTTACAATGCACGCACTGCACTGATCGTAAATCATCCTCCATCCTCGAGTACTCACTCTCGATCTAGTCCGTGATAGCTTGCATATATATTTTGAAATCTCCGCCGTCTCTAGGCCGGCCGGCCGGCCATCTCTCTGAGCTAGCTACCTTAGTTTCTGATCGATATGTCTGTAAGTGACTAATAATAATAACTGTACGTGATATGATAATATATGGATGTGATTTGGTTTTAATAATTTAATTTGCAGATGGTGGAGGTTAGAGTTCCAAACTTGGATTGCGAAGGATGTGCTGCTAAGCTAAGAAAAGCTCTTTTAAAGCTCAAAGGTTAGTGCATTGAAATCTATCTGAATTGAAATTTTGTAAATATTGATAAAATAATGAAATACGATGAGTGGAGTGGCATGCATGCATCCAGGGGTGGATGATATAGACATAGAAATGGAGACACAGAAGATCACGGTGAGAGGTTACGGAGTTGAAGAGAAGAAGGTGGTAAGGGCTATTAAGCGAGCAGGCAAGGCGGCGGAGCCATGGCCTTACCCGGTGGGTTACTCCCATCTGGCTTCGTTTTACCAGTATCCCAATCACATTGCCGCCGGTTACTACGACTCCATTTCCTCCAGAAACGTGGCCGCCCCCAGTGTGCATACCTTCTTCCACACTCCTGCTGTCTATTCTGTCGCTGTGGCTCCCGACGAGGCTGTTGCTTCTCTTTTCAGCGATGACAATCCACATGCCTGCGCTATTATGTAGTCATCCTACCTAGCTTCCATCCTTCCTACCAATAAATTAAATGTACAAGTTTTGCCAGCAGTTTCTTTTTTTTTTTTTTTTTTTTTTTTTGATTGATTGAGCTAATTTTGTTGATTTTTTTTTTTTAATTTAAAGATATAATTTTGTTTTAAATGCCATATATAGTGTTTGCATACTTCTTTTTTCTTTTTAAAATACAAGTAGCAATTATTACAGTACAAGATTACATTAATTTTAGATACACAACAGCGTTCTATTGCTCAAATGTGTTGTTCTTGTTGGGGTTGACCCTCTAACTTAGCTGGCTAGTGGTGATATTAATTCAATCTTCTACTACTATGGCTATATATGTCTCACCTTTTAATAAAGGGAGAGGTGCTTTTGAAGAAACCTGTCTTGTTTGCCAATTGGCGATTGTATGCAAAGGAAAAGGTCATTATTTTTTTGCCGGTTTCCGACAAAGGCAGGCACGTGTCCAATTCCATGCTGCACCCAACTGCCATGGGAATTCATATACTGAACAGAACCACCAAAAGATTGATCAAATCTAACATTGCTTAGGCTAGAAAGGCAATGCACACTGTCGCTAAATAATAAAAGTTTTATTTAGTGGTATGGCTTTACTCTTACCCCCCCTATCATTTTCCATCATCATCAACCCCACATAAATCTATTTAGATGTTTAAATATTTCGTCCCTAATTGAGTTAAAAATTATGTGATTTATTGTTAGGAAAATCTTGATGCTGACCCCTTTACTAAGACCACCCACATAAAAAATAATAATAATAAAAAATAGTGAGTAAAAGTGGAGAATAAGAAATTAAAAATTGAGAGTATATATAATATAACATAACTCTTAATATGGTTGTCTTTCTAAAGTTAGAGGTGGAAAGTGATAAATATAAAACCCACAACAAAATTACTCTCTTCTGTTCAATATGTCTTCACTCTTCAGTACCAATTTTTAATTGAGAGGTACATACATGGCCAAAGAGGTTGAAGCAATGGCGATACGAGAATCCTTAACATGGCTCAAATCTGTCACTCTTAACAAAGTGGTAATCGAGTCTGATTCCCTACAAGTTGTCCAGAATTATCACTCTACTTCAGGAGACTCTTACTTTCATGTTATTTTAGGTGATATTAAAAACTTAATGAGCTTGTTTGCTCAAAGTAGTTTAGTGTTCACTAAGCGATCTGCGAATCAGGCGGCTCATTTGTTAGCTAGGCAGTCCGTTTCTTTGTCTGATTGCTCGGAGTGGTTTTTGAATCCTCCCTCTATCATTTGTAATTTTCTTCTTGCGGATTTAAGTTAATGCAGTAGTCTTTGATTTTCAAAAAAAAAAAAAAAAAAAAAAAGTACCACTCAAAATGACGCATCCTATCCTTTGGGTCCCCACTCCCCCTCCACCAAATGCAAAACCACGTTGTATGACATCACCTATATATCAAGAAAGATTCTTCATTCATTTATTTTTTGTATCGCCCACAACTCCGTCCTCGACTTCTCAAATGGCTCAGGTACAGAGTTTTTCAATATACCAGCCATATACACAATGTTTTTAGAATTTCTTTCTCAATCTTTTTTTTTTTTTTTTTTTTTTTTTTTTTGCTATTGCTTTTAATTCATGCTGCAGAAAGTGGTACTTAAGGTGCTTACCATGACTGATGACAAGACAAAGCAGAAAGCCATTGAAGCTGCTGCTGATATATATGGTATGCTCTGGAATCTCTCTCTCTCTCTCTCTCTCTCAATTTGAATCTTACAGCAGTGCTACATCTTTAACCTTCCATTATTGTTCCTGTGGGAGAAAACAAGGGGAGAGGGGAGATAGTGTCAAGAAAGTAAACATTTACCAAAATTTTCTAAGAACAGGAGTGGATTCAATTGCTGCTGATCTCAAAGAGCAGAAACTGACAATAATAGGAGAGATGGATGCTGTTGCAGTGGTGAAAAAATTGAAGAAAGTAGCAAAAGTTGACATAATCTCAGTGGGGCCAGCCAAGGAAGAGAAGATTGAAGAGAAGAAAGAGGAAGAGAAAAAGGAAGAAAAGAAAGAGGAAGACAAAAAGGAGGAGAAGAAAGAAGAGCACAAGTGACCATACTTCATCCATTCCTTTCTGGGAACACCACACCAATATTTCTGTTTCATCAACCAAAACAATGTAACTATAGAAAGTGGTTGCCAATCCGCAAATTGAGTAGAGTATATGCCAACTAAATAACATCATGGTTTATCTTTGATGCACTTGAATAACAAGCAAAATAAAATAAAAAAAGGTTTGATCACCAGTTCTTTATCTCATCACACACCTCATCAAAGTCCAATTAAGTAACCAAAGCAGAAGGTGATGAAGGACACATGGCAGCATTCTCATATATCATTTCACATTTCAAGCATCTATCATTTACTGGAGATTGAAGCATTATTATATATTAAAATCCAAATTGCATGAAAATGATATGTAGAGAATAATCTGAGGTCAGCAATTCCGAATTGTATACTCTGCAAATATTCTCCCTGGTAAAGCTTCTATGCACAAGAGGCCAAGAGTGTCAGCATACACAGGCACACAACACACTAGCCATTGCTTTTGAGGACAACAAAATGTACATTATTATTCCTTTTTATTTATAACCAACACCAGAGAGGACACCATTTGGACTTTGACTTCTAGAAAAGGTAATCTTGCTTTTATAATAGATGAGTATAGTGTTCATTGTTGTATAAGGTACACCTGTGGAATTCTAGCATGTCATAGAGGCATTTAATAAGAGAATTAAAAAGTCTCAGTCCACCTTTTGACTTCATTTAATAGTCCTTGCCTCCATGGGCTTTCAGAAATGTCTTTGGTAACAGAGTGATGCCATACAGTGTGCTAGAACCTCCCAGAACCTATATATCCAAATGCTACTATATAATATAACAAATATATAATATTTTCCTGGATAGAACCAACATTTGAAACAATTTTTTCTACTCTCTCGTTTTCATCATTACAATGTATTGGATAACAATAGCAGGGCATAGTGAAGTACCTAACATTATCCATGTTTGTGCTCTCCACCTGCAGAATTTGTTAACATCTCAAATTACAAAATGCCAACTTTTAGTCACCAAAATATAAGGCAAAGTTTGCTGAAAATAAGTTGAGGAAAGAATTATTCAATTGGTGGAAACCAAGAACAGAGTGCAAATTCAGATGGTCTTTGCTTTCAAAAATATACAAAGAGAATACACACATGAACAGGCACAAACATTCATCAAAAAGCATAAGAGAAAAACATATGGAATCACTAGAAATTAGCTCTTAATTCAACATATACTTTCACAGTTCATACTTCATAGATATGCTCTGAATTGTCCAGAGAATCAAAGTACTATAGAGCAGAAAGATTTCCCCTTTTTTTCTATATTGAAATGTTCAAGTTCAGGCAGCATCTACCTGCACTTACTTTTAAATCCTCACTATCACACAAGTATCCGAGGAAGCAAGGTTTTTTAACATGAACAGATGCTGGAGTGGGTAGCAAGAATCCAAAAGCCAGTTCAAACAGTATAACAGCAATACTATGCCACAATTTGGAAAAAGAAAACAACCATCACTTTATCACTCAGTGAAGAAACATCACGGGATCAATTATGGTATCACAACTACAATCAATATATCACATTGACACTGCAAAAACAAACACAGTGAACTAAGGTAGCAAAAAGTTCCTAGGTCCACAAATTTAACTTTACAATTATTTTGGGGATGCCTCAAAAACCTATATGTAAGAAGTTCAAATCCCCTACCCTACTCCTTGGCTCCCAATGTGGTTTACTTAGAACATCATAGGACAAGAAGATTGAACAAAAACAAAAGAATTTCAAGACAAGATGAATAAAGTTGTCTCTCTATAAAATTGACTACTTCAAGGAACAAAGTTTTTCCTGCACACAAGAAGTTACATTCAAGATGTCATTCTTCTCTACTGTTATCTGTTGCACTAGTGCTTCAAATTCCTTTCTTTAAACCAACGGGAAATCCAGGAACAGTCCATCCACAATGGATTCACTTGGTATGTAGGAAAGAGTGCAAAATGGATTTGAGATTCCAGATAATTGATTTAAATCCATTGCTCAGTATGAGAAAAATAGAGAACAAAATTCATTCCCCATATCCAAATATAACAATTTCATTCTGCCTAAAAGTTGGTGGATTGTCATTCCATAGGTATCCCTTCAACATCTTTTATATCTTCTGATTTTTGATACAAGCGGGATATAGCACCCCTTTTCCACCATATATCTCACCACTCGATCAGCTTCCAAGAGCTTTCCAGCATTCTGCAAGTTTTTCACTAGTGTACTATACACAAGAAAATTTGGATTACAACCCTTTGATTCCATTTCTTTCAACATCAAACAAGCCTCCTCAAATTTCCTCGACATACAAAGCCCACGGATTATGGAGTTGTAGGTAAATGCATTTGGCAGCTGCCCCTTGTTAACCATATCAGAAATAATCCCTTAGCTTTATCAAGTTCACCGGCCATGACATATCCAGTTATCATTACCCTGTAGCACACCACATCAGGCACAATCCCTTGTTTTATCATCCTATCAAAAAAATATTTGCATGCCTCCAAGTTGCCTGCTCGACTGAGCCCATCAATCAAAGTCGTGAAATGAAGAATGCTAGGATCATAACCAACTTCATTCATGTGATTCAAAAGATTAAGAGCTGCTAGTGGTTTGTCCCATTTACCAAGGACATGAAGTAGTATATTGAAGGTATGAAAATCAGGTGAAAAGCCACTTCTTTCCATTTCATCAAGCAATCTGTGAAATTGATCCAGTTTTCCCAGCCTGTACTTTGCACACAGGAGGACATTATATGTTAGCATATCAGGTGAATGGCCTTCATCCAGCATCTGCTGATACACCCACTCAATCAACCTGTACTGTTTTACAGTCAAAAGGGAACATAAAATTGAATTAAATGAAAGCTTGAACGGCCTATAATTAAATATCTTTGTCTTAATAAACTTCTCGACTACTTTTCTAGTTAATCCTGCCTCACCACAAGTACATATCAATATGTTAAAAGTCCGAGCAGTAACTGAGTAACCTTTCTCAATCATCTCATCAACTAATCTCCACATGGCTTTGAATTCCTCTGACTCTGCAAAAATCTTCATGAGTAAATGGTATGAATTTGCTGTGTGTTTGTAGTTCTCATGCTGACCTGACCATAAAAAGAACTTGTACCCCATCTTGGCACACCTACTCTTTTCTGCATAATTTAAGGTTTTCAGTATCCCTACAAGAACCTCCCTGACTAGAAGGCCAGAAAGCCTAACTTGCAAAGCATCTAAAGCTGTTTTTGTATCAAACCCTGGACCATCTTGATAAAGAACTTCAAGAATCCGCCGAGCATCACTTTTTGCATCATTAATGAAATTGCTCCTGGTGGAAAATTTATGTTGGGAATTTCCTTCAGGAAAGCCATGACCTCCCATGAAACCGAGTGACTGATCAGAGTATTTTGAACTCTCTTCAAAATTATAATCAAAATTCGGAAATATCCAGCTTTCTTTCAGATACTCCTCCTCAAAGCTTCCTAACCCGTTTAAGACATCATCGCTGTTAAACGTTTGAGTACACAAAAAACGCGAAAAACTGCTAAAACGAGGGAAGCTCTGGATGATCTTTTGACCAAGAAGAACAACAGACTGAATAGAGTACATGGCAATATATTGTGGAAAAATGGGACGGGCCCATTAGCTCTTTATCTCAGCAATCCCCAATTAATAGCCTCACTTCAAGAGCTACACACTATACATACTCGTTAAATTGTAAAATTAACAAGTGAATTTTCAAACTCTGGAGAAAGCTTCAATCTTTCTTGCTGCCCGGATTCAATAGGATCCAGAGCGAAATAACTGAGCTTATCGGCTCAGGGTTTTAGGGGTTTTGAGTTATGAAGGGAATAGGTGCTTACCTGGTGGGTATAATAGGGTTTGGGCAGAGTATGAGCAAAAATTTCACACAATTTGCCACTAAATTTCTTTTCGTTTTTCCTAAAAGAATATTTAAATTATTTTCTAACGTTTCTACAGTAACCATATGCTTTTTACAATTTTACAGTGTAACTTGTAAAATACATGTTGCTACATGGAAATGATGGAATACATGCATCTACCGTATTTTTTTCTCATTAATAATTTTTTAACTTAATTTTATTTATATCTTTTTCTTTAAAAAAAAATTCAATGTATAAAAATAATATTTTATTAAAAATCTTTAATACTTTATTGATATATTTTGATTTTTTATTTAAATATAGAAGTACATAAAGTTTTTACTTTAATATAGTAATAGTATTTGTCATGTGTGATGCACGGAAAATATGTTAAAAAAATATACCTTATATGAGGTTTGTTCATATATAAAAATTTTATTATTTAATAATTATGTGTGAAGCTATGATAAAATTATGAACATATATAAATATATTTACAATAAAATAAGAATTGATATTTAAGGTGGGTGATTACTACAAATGTTAAACTATATTAAAAATTTAGTACATAGTATTTAATATTACAAATTTTTAAGGACTTAGTAAACTAAAATAGTACTCTAGAAATCTCAAATGTCTAAAAATTTTGATCCGCGGTGACTCTGAAAATTGTAATACAATTACGATTGTAGTTTACTAAGTTCTTAAAAATTTGTAATATTAAATACTACTCCGTATGTACTAAATTTATAAGATTGACCTCATTAGAATAATCTCAATTGAAGTTTATTTGTGAGTTTTTGAATGGATTGGATGAGGCAAGAGAGATGGAAATGAATTAAGGTTAATTTGAATTTTTATGCACCATGTAATAAGTAAATAAATAAATCTTAACTATTATATAACCATATATATGGTTTCTTAACTATATTATAACCATATGGTTTGGTGATTGGTGAGTAATTATTGTTACAATAATTGCTCACCAAACCATATTGCTATATTATAGTTAAGATTTATATATATTATTTTTTTTTAAGACAAAAGCAAATATTTCATTAATTCAAATCGGCATAGAGTTCCTTAACAATAAAGGAAGGAGGGGAAGACACCCACTCCTAGCGTACAAACATGGAACAGGTCTCCCGGGCAAGGACATGGGCAACACTGTTCGCAGTACGAGAAACATGAGAGATAGCTACGTCAAAAGATGAACGAAGCATATCTTTAATATATAAAATGATTAAATCACAAGAAGATACACATTGATCCTGGTGTAGACTTTGAATGATCTGCAACGCATCGCACTCCACACGCACATGGTGATACTCCATCTTCTTGACCCAGCTTAAGGTTTCCCTAATGGCCATAGCCTCGGCCTCATTTGGTGACGTCCAGTGCTTGGTATGCATGAGGCTGCCATGAATTTTCCGTGCTCGTCCCTCAACACCTAGCCTAATCCCATCCGGTTTCTATTAATGTCTACCGCAACATCCATATTGAGCTTAAGATAACCCGATGGTGGCTTGTCCCATTTATGAGTTGGGGGAGATCTGGCGCTGGGCAGGGTTAGAGAAACTTTCGAAGGTGGACGACCAGTCTGCTAGGAAGAGCTTGGCTCCCTCCACAAGGCTATTGCTCGAAGTACATTTATTGTTCCAGAGTTTATCGTTTCTTGCCAGCCACAACTTCCAACAGATCATGAACAACAAACAACACTGATCCTTGCATTGTCTAAGGAGTCAAGGTGATGATCTGCCCACTGCGCAAATGACGTAAAAGTGGTGGTACTAACCGATAATCCACTGTGATTCCAGCACTCCAATGCGAACTTACATGTGATGAAAATGTGAGTGGTGGATTCCTCAGCTACGTGGCACAAATGACATTCCGGTTGACAATCGACATGTCTAACTCACAGACAATCTGCACTAGGGAGACAACCGGAACAAGCTTGCCAAAGAAAAACTCTAATCTTCCTGAGAAGGTTAGTTGAGCTTCCACACGCCGACCCATTTCTTCTTCTGGTGGATATCAAACTGGGTAGAGATCACCTTATAGCATCCCTTAACCGTGAAGACACCATTTTGATCATCATTCCAGATCAACCTATCATCTCTCTTAGTCAACGATAGGGGAATACTTAGTATTAGATTAGCATCTCGTTCATCAAAGATTTCATGAATAATGCTAGCATCCCAACTATAAATTGTCCTATCGTGAAATTAGACATAAGGGTCAAATGGACCTCCCAACTATATATCAAAATGAAATTAGATACACGATTAAAAAAACATTCAATTAAACTTTTACACTTGTTAACAATGTGTAATTAACTAATTTGACATATAATAGCATGTTCTCTTCAAGTCACATGTCACGTAATATACCACACAGATTAATATTTTAAAACATTATTTAAAAATCAAAATAATTATATTATTACAAAAAGACTATCATGGTTTCTTCATCCATGTCGAAACTAGACAACTCCGTTCAGTTCATTATGTAAATTATGAACATTCCGTATGTAAACTAAACAACTCTGTCTGTTCATGTTTACAATTTACATACTTATAATATTCACAATTTACATATTAAATGCCTTTTACAGAATCATAAACATTCAAAAAATAAATTGTATATTTTAGAATCGGGTCCACCTTAAAATTGTCCATGTTATAACTATTGATAAAATACTAAAATAGGGAGCTGGCTCTAGAAAGCGAAGCCCCCAAAGGCCTACCACAGAAAACACGGCCCAAGAGAAACCGTTTGGTATTTGCGGCAATTTATATCGTGCACCACGGTGTACATAACAATGTGCGGCCAGACACAAAATGCATGTGTTTCAGTTGCTGACATCTCTGTCCATCCAAACGGTCAAAATCGTATTATGTATATTCAGTTAAAAGTTTTTTTTAGTTAAGAGTTTCTGTGTATTCAGTTAAGAGTTTATGTGTATTCAGTTAAGAGTTTATGTGTATTCAGTGAAGAGTTTATGTATATTCAGTTAAAAATTTCAGTGTATTTACTTAAGAGTTTTTGTATATCATGTATTATATTAGATTATGTGTATTAAGTTAAGAGTTTCTGTGTATTCTGTTACGAGTTTATATGTATTCGAAACACATGAATTTTTCAGACAATGCAATGAAAACGATGTCATTTTGGGTACCTGGTGCCGATATAACGACGGGGTATTTGCACTAGCAATCTAGTCTACAATAGCATGTAAATTATAAACCATTCCCAGGAGCGCCAATTGCAAAAGTTCGTTAACATTTTCAATTCAAAGCTTCAGTCCCTGCAACTCAGGGGGACTTGAAATGAGAACTCGGTTCCTCTGCACCGATTACTCCGTCTCATCTGTGATCCAAGCCACAGATTTCCTCCGCCTCCCTCTTCCTCACCTCCCGCTTTCTTCCTCCTCTGAATTCGAAGACCTTCATCGTTTCGACCAACTGTCCATTTTCAGCATCGACCTTGGAATCAAACAATTACCGATTGAAAAAGCTCTGTCTAAGTTCCTCTCCGAATCCTTCCCCAACTTCATTGATGTTGAAATTTGTGATTTCGATAAAGCTCCATCTCACTCCGAAAAAGCCGCCTCTAGCAAGCTAACAAGTTCCATTTCCAACCAAAATGCTGAGGTAATCTTCGACCTCAGTTATGCAAGGATCTTATGTTTAAGTCTATTAATTATATTCCATTTGATTTTTTTTAAAAGTAAATATATCTGCTGATTAGTATTGTTTTGCGTAATTTGACGTTGGCGTCAGTGTTCATGTATGCAATGCGGTCTGACTGATATAATGAATGTTAAATTGTTCGAGCTTTTGAAGAGAAGCAGAATTCAACGTGTGCTATATCTTTTGTTTTATGTACTGTTGCTCAATGGTTTCAAGAGCAATACTATTTAACATAGGTGATGGATGCTAGCTTTCTGTATTAGATACTAATATGCATAGATTTCCTTCTTCTTTTTTCAGCAAACATATTAAACTAGTGTGGAAGCCTAAAACAGAAACTAAAATCAGATGATTCAAGGTCATGTGCATTTAATTTTCATATAGTTTTTTTTTAATGCCTAGTTTCTTACTGGAGAAATGGTGTGTGCTTCTCTCTTTTGCGGGGACAATCTGCTCAATGAAGCAATTGATAATGATATCCAGAACTTGAAACTCTCACCATGGACTATTTTACACTAATTTGGATTGTTTGTTGTTGCACTTCTAATGGTCGCGTACATGGTAGGGTTTGTGTATATCACTGTTATGTATCATCTTGCCAGTGTGGTGTCTGTGCTTGGAGATGTGCATGGCCTCAATACCATGATCAAGAGCCAGGGCCTGATCAGGGGTAAAATGAATATATCTGCTGTCATTTTCCTGCTGTTGAACTTGGTTTTCTTTGGAATTCAGGAAGGGTTTGAGTACTTTGTGGTGCTTGGCTATGGAGGTGGAGTTACAGGGAGGGTAGGGTATAGAATTTTTTTTGTGTTGCTGTTGGCAATTTTGATACTCTTTGGACTCATCACCCAGACTATCATCTACTTCATCTGCAAGACTATCAACATGAGAATATTGACAAGTCCGCATTGTCTGATCATCTAGAAGATTACATTGGAGAATATGTTCCTTTGAAGTACAGCTTGAGTCATTTCATGTTTAATATGCAATTTTTCTATGGCTCTTGGTATTTGCCAAAGAAATTACTGGTACTTTGACATTTGAGGATATAAATGTTTACAGAAATATATGATTAAAAAAGAAGAAGAGAGAGAATAGCTAACAGCCTAACCAACTCCTTCCAGCTAAGCTAACAGAATAGCTAACCACTGCTGACATTGATTAGGCTACTGACTTGGGATTTTCTCAGATGATTTATCCTTCTCTAATTGTTTTAAGATGTAATGATACATTTCTCTGCAGGAAGGCAGTATTCTCATTGATGGTAAGCAAGACACCATATTTGACAGTCTACAATATGAGATTCCAGAACTCCATTCGATCTTGCTTCCAATGGTAAACCCCCATATTTAAGATTTGATCTTATTCATATATGATACATATGCTTAATTATAAATGCCTTTACCTAAATTTCTTTATTTTTTCCCAGCACAAATCTGCCTTTTATTTTGAAGACATGAGGATTCTTACTGACATTTCCTTTGCTGAAAAGAAGGTAGTAAACATTTGGAGTAAAATAATATGGATTTATATACTGTTGGAATATTTCTATTAGTTTATCCAGTGGAAGTGCAAATAATAAGGGAATCAATGGTATGGATTTCTATTATAGGAAATAAATCTTTATGTTATTTGGTTCTTAGATCTTATAACTTATCCACATTACAATTGCTTATGAGACTCTGAAAGCTAACTACTAAGTTCTATACATGCGTTTTTATCCTGAATTCTGTTTGATATCTTCCCTTTTATTTTTATCTGAAACTCAGAGCTTATATATATTACTCCTTTCAGGAAATGCCCAGTCCTGAAACCATGTTGCAATATCCCCTCTATAGTCCACAATCAATTTATGCAGTTGATGAAATCCACTCACCTACTTTTGTGGAGAGAAAGGTTGATTATCTGGAAGATGGTGGCTCTATTCAGGGGCAATATCTTTCTCTTACTACCCAGTTTCCCCTCTTTGAAGTTGATGAAGCAGGTTTGGGCATTTTGAGTGATATACCCACAAAAAATCGGCTTCTAATTTTTGGAAGTATTGAAATCCAGTACTCGATGGGAGGTGATGGAATGAGTAACTCAGAAGGGCTATTGGATTCTAGAAATGTTGATTTTTTAGAATGTGTGTCAGATCAGTGTTTACTGGCAAACAGATTCAAGATGGAGATACCTTTTTTGAATTACTCCTTTGAAGCAGATATTATAAGTTTCTTAGAACAAAGAGAGAACTCAGATGGTGGTTCAATTTGTCTGAGAAGTCCAATGATATTTGAGGAATTACAGTTATTTGATTCATCATGCCCTTCTCATTTTAGTGAAGTCTTATCTGATGCAAAATTGAAGATTGAGAAAGAAATGCCTCTAGAAGCTACAAGTTTAAGGAGCTTTGATGAATTAGTTGTTTGCCAGGAGCTCACTATGATTGATAGCTCTTTCAAATCATTGCCTGTGCCTCTATTTCCGGACAAAGAAAAAACAAGGTCATTACATTCGCATGTTGAGGAAATATTATTTGAGTTGGATACACTGCATTTTTTTGTGTCTGATGATTTATATTTAGATTGGCATATTCTAGAAGAAGTGAATCATACCTGTAATGCAGATTCTCTCTTTTCAAAAGTCTTGGAGGATGTTTACAACATTGATTCTGCTTTGGAGTTGGGTGATAGTGAGAAGCTGGTATATGATTTTATTCTCTCTGGTGATTCTCCAAAGGCGTCAAACAAAGAAGAAAACAAAGAAATACTGCATATAAATATTAATGACATTCCAGAATTTCCGTTGCCTTTGGGTGAAAAATCTTCTAGTAAGTTGCACATCAGTCGAAATAGAGAGGCATCAACTGGAGGGGAATCATCCAAAATTGTTGCCAAAAATATTTCTTTACTTGCTGGATCTTTCTCCCAGTTCAATGACCTAGATTTCCTTTTAAATCCTCAAGACTACACAAGAGGGAAAGAACATAAACAAACTAATCAGATACCTGATTTTGGTGCTGTGGACTGGAACAACTCTGACTCCCAGAAAAAGAATCCTCATTCTCTTTCATCCCTCGGTGGAAGTGATAAGTTGGAAAAGCAGCAAAGTTTTATTTCAGTGGAAAATAATTATGATTCTGGATGTATAGAAACATTCGGTGGAGATGAAGTTTGCTCTACGATGCTTCCTCAATGTGCTCCATTCGATAGATCAGAGCAAGTTCACACAAATGACTACTCTTTCCCTGACACTATCATTGTTGTGAACACACAAAACTTTGACAAACAAATGGTAATATCCAGGAGAAACACATACCAAAAGATTCTTGCACTGGAGAAGAAAGGAGCTCAAGTTATAGAGCGTGACTTACATCATCCTGTTGATGTCATAATCAGTGCTGCCATTTGCATTGCATGGTATGACTGCAAAAATATTGCAAAGAAAGCTACTTCCTCAGATGAGGCCTTTTCATGCTTGCCGCTATGTGTAGAAAATATTGCAGCAAGTATTTTAACATCGCTAAGCTTTGCTTTTAGTGGCTGTATACTGGTAATTGCCAACAATACTCTTTTATTCTAACCTGTTATGGAATTCTTTACACTCTTATGCATGCATGTAAAGAGTACAGAAACACAATAGTCAGTGAATGGCTATTATAAATTTAGCGGCTTGTTTCTAGAAAACAAAGACTGTAACGGAACAAGATATACACCTGTGAAGGTGAACCGAGATATGTAGTGTATAGTATTTCACATGCCAAGCATTGCTCCCTTGGATCCTCTTTAAAGTTGAATATAGAGTTCAAATACTTATTTGACTTTACATTCCAGGTCTTTGAGGGAGAGAACAGTTTCCTAGATGGGATTATGGAGTCGTCAGATGAGCTATATGCTGCAGCAGCTAGCCTGGGAATTGATATACAGATCTTCTGCTCATATTGTTCTGAGATGACTGAAAATATCATATTATCTTGCATTGAAGCTGAATCAAGGACAAATAGAGGCCTGTTTCCTAAAGTGTCCGAGTTAGAGACGTTGGCAGAATCTTTCCTTACTATGTTCCCTTCAATCAATCCACTTTCAGCTCATGCAATATTGTCTTCAGTGAGCATGCTTCTTGAGTTTCTTGAATGGTCACCTGAACATAGATTTCATGTAGTTCAAAAGTATCAGGTTTCTTATGAAAGCATTTCATTACTAAGTGCTTTGAGTAGATATGGGGAGCGTGAGGAGTCTAAATCAGGAATGACAGAATGCTCTTCTTCAGTATCTTCTGTTCCTGGCTCAGAGCCTCTTCATTTTGGAAGCAACTCTGGGATGAGAAAAAGAAAGTATGCAGGGAATCTTCAAGATCTTGAAGACAGTCTCCTCTGCACATCTGACCCCAACTATTCATGGATTTCAGAAAAGACAGATATATTTGATGAGCTTGGGAAGTCCAGTTTATCTTTTGACAATAACTTGTTTGGTCAACCCCTTGGATTGGAGACCAATATGACAATGAATCCTCATAATTCATCTCAACCCTACGATTTTCAGATAGCAAGAGATCCTGAGTTGGGAGATGAAATGAATAAAGCTGATGTTATTTCCATTGGTGCATGTTTTCCTCCAAGACAAACATTGGATGGATCTGCTATCAACAAAATGGATAGACAAAGTGGCAAGGATTCTAGAAATGCATATAAGGATTTTATAGGTGAAGTCATTGACATTGAGGACACACATGCAGTCAGTAAAAAAATCTCTACTGCAAATTGTGCGTACTTGTCACCTTTGCTGCATGAAGTGGATCAGGACTTGACCACACGAATCCCTAAAGCTGCAAGAAAACTGTCTTTTGGTACAAGCAACCTTTCCACTTTTCCTACCTCTGATAAAATTGACTCTTGCTCAGATGTTTGGATTTCTATAAGAGATCAAGGACAAAGCTCCAGAGAAAGGATTAATTGGCAACCAGGAATTGGTATTAACAGAAATAGTACTCTACTAGAGTACAATAATGGGGTCTCAGGAGGAGGCCAATCACAGAAGGAAGTCCAGAATTTGCATGACCACTTACTGCAAGAGAGGAATACAGTGACACCACTATCAAGTGCAATAAACTCCTCTCAACTGCTGCAAGGGTCACCCTGGACAATTGAATTTCTCAACAGAATCAGGGAAAAGAGTAGATCACGCCAGCATTCCATTCTTTCTAAAGTCTCTGCCCCTAGTTATGGATACCCAAGGACTAGATCTAAGGGAACTAAGAGGAGTCCATCTATTTTTGAATTCTACAAGTACCAAGGACAGGGTGCCTCAGAAAGATCAATTGAACAAAAGAAGCAAAAGCGATTTATACGGCCATCATCATCATCTAAGGTTGAAATGGCTTCTGCTTCACACCTTCCAACATGGACACCAATTGATAAAAAAGCAAAACAAGTACATTTACTGAACCTCTTGTTAGACAGACTTACTAAATTATTGCTGTATAGTCATTGCACATTTAACTATTTGCAGACGCTATCTTTTGCAACAAATGGAAGTGGAGGGCAAACTAAGCTGGTGTGGAGTGATAGAGATTCTCACACTCCAGGCAGAAGATTTTAGCAATTTATTATGTCATGAAATGTGCTCATACACATACTTGGTTTCATGATTGCGCAACAAAAAATTATCTTGAAACTTTGTATTCCTAGGCCATTTATACTAAGAGCTACGGCAGAAGAAACTTCTTGTACAAGGCATGGCTGAATGTCATGAACCCCTCAGTCTCCATTGTTGACAGGCCATGAAATCTAGGGGTGTATTGAATTCCATCTACAGATCCATTCATTCAACATTTAAATGCAATGCTAGTTCTTTTTTCCATTCTTCAGATTACGTAAAGCCATGACAAGTTGTTGCCTTTCACCTTCTACCTCTGCAAATTTGAGGCTGATTTCTGAATATCTCTCTTCCATTTCCTTGAGTTCACCCTCCATGTGCTTGTTCCTGTCTCTCAGTGATGCTACTTCCATAAGTAACTTAGCAAGATCAGGTGTAGTTTCAGCATGGCCGTTGATCACTTTTGGCATTCCTGAGTGTATCTCTTTACTGTACAAAGAGCAGTGAATTTCAGTCTTTTGTTTTTTAATCTTTCAGCAGGGTCATCCTTAAGTAATAAAAGACAATACAGTAGAAAAGCTGTGAGTAATTATAGTTTAATTTGAGTACCTTCTTAATGATGAGCCTTCTAGAGACCTCATCTCTCCACAATGGATACATTCCCCTGTACCTTTTCTTGCTTCAACTGTGACTCCATTTGAAGGTCTGTTCTCCTGTTTTTCAAATTGAGCAGTTCAGAAATATTTGTGACCATAGATGATTTCAACAAGTTCTTCAAAAAGAAAAAAAAAAAAAAAAAAAAAATTGCCAAAAAGAAAGAGTAGTATTTTTTTTAGGTCAAACTTGTTGAAAGAGGGAACTTGGTGGATTTTTTTGAGCCTTAGAGTGGATGTCACTATTTTAGGATTATAACTATTTCCTTTCATGAGAATAATATATATTTTGACGTAAGTCATGTGTGAATAATATCACTAAACAGTAAACACATATAAATTGTTGTATGCTTCTTCCTTACACATATCTGGTTATTGGCATTGAGGCATGAGCATGCTACCTTGTAAAATATCTTTGTTTTTCAAAAGAATTCTTTTTTATTTATTGGTTTACTTTTAGAGTTATATTCTTTTTACATTACGTAGTTTCTTTTTGTAACAGGTATAACTAGAAGAATAGGAAGTGATGCACTTCTTTTCTCCTTTAAAGTCAAGTAGTCAGATTTACTGCTATATGTAAATGAGTTATAATCTGTATGGTAGCCATAACAAACTAATTTTTTGCAGTGGTATGTACCTGTCCCTTCTTGTGTAGATTACTCTGTAATTCGAAAACCTGCTCCTTAAGGTTTTCATTCTCTAACTTAAACTGTTCGGAACCATGAACCAATTCATTGTAAAGAACTTGTAGCTTCTCAATTTCAGATTGTAAATGTTCTTCAGTTTTCTTCTTTTCATCCATTAGAGTCCGCATTTTGTTTGACTCTTCCAGTAATGTCTGATTGTTTTGAATTGAAAGTTGATGCAGCTCTTTCGTATAGTGATCTTTTGTTGATTCAAGTTCATTTTTGGCTTCATGCAGTGAGTCCTCTAGAACTTTATTTTGCTGTAGCAGAGCATTAGCTTCAGCCACTGCTTTAATAGCTAGTTTCTCCTTCTCATCAACCGTTGATGCCATTTCAACAGAAAGCCTTCTAATTTCTTCCTGAAGTTGCTCAGTTGCATTTGCATTATTTGACCTTGTTCTTCTCAAGGCCTCCTCGGCACCTAACGCCCTTTGTTCCTGCACAACTCTGGCTTGAGTAGCTGCTTCTAGATTTTCTTCAAATGCTCGTGCCTGCTTTTTCAACTCCTTCTCAAGGCTCATGACTTCAGATTCTAGCATGCTTATAGTGTCCAAAGATTCTGAGTAATTCATTGATTGTCTTTGCATTTCATCCTCCAACCCCTCTATCCTGACCTTCAACTGCTGTATGCTGGTCAATGCTTCAGAGTATTCTTGTTGCAGTTTGACTTTTTCTAACTCACTCTGCTCTAGCTCAGAATAGATATCCTTATTTTCATTTTTCAGGATTTCACAATCACTTACAAGTTGGTCCTTCTGTACTTTTAGCACTTCACTTTCTTTTTTGTAGACCTCCATTTCCCTGGACATCTTTTCTATTGTTTGTTTCATTTCCTCTAATTCATTAACCTTCTTGAATGTCTCAGTGTTTTCCTCTTCATTCTGATCACTTTTGGAACTGGACATTTTTCTGGCCACACCCTCTGTGAAACATTTTTCGGACTTTCTTTTGCCGGAAAGATGAGATATTTCCTTTTTTTTCTGATCCAACATTTCATTAAGGTCTCTTACTCTAAGAATAAGTTCAGAATTTGAGTCTTCCGTCTTTTGCAGCTTCAGCTTCAATTTGCTTCTTAATTGCTTCTCATGCTGAAGTTCTTGCCTGAAGCCCTCTAACTCCGCTGTCAATTTTTCAATTTCACTTTGTGGTGCATTTGGGATTTCCACATTTCCCCTATTTTTAAACTTAAGTTCATCACACTCTGTTTTAAGTGCATCTCTCTCATCTTGTAGGTCAAAAATTTGCTGCAAGAAGTCCTGTCCCCTTTTGCTTTCTTTTACAATTTGCTTCCTCAGGCACTGTAGCTCTATTTCAGAAACTTCTGCCTGCCTTTCCAGCATTTTGATTTGATTTTGCAACCTCAGCGTACTATTTGTTTCAGTTTCTTGCACAATGTCCCTTGGAATGTCCTCCTTGGGTCTGTTTGTTGTATCTTTTATACTTCCATCCGAGGTTGAGCCCAATGAGCAGTCTGTGGAGGATCTCTGGTGGGAATATCTTTCAAGGGAATTGATACCAAAAGCAGGCTTCTGAGGCCTGAAATCTTGTTGATGACTACTAAGGTCCTGATTAACACTAATATCATCAGATGGAGGATGTCTGAGGGTGCCATTTTGCTCAGGATACTGAGATGTTTTGTTGAATTGCTCACCCTGTGAAATAAATGAAACATTGATTTTTCATCACATTGATCAGCCAAACTAGTATCCTCTTGCAAAGCATATCTGTTTTGCTTTTCTAGTGCTAGGTTGTTACAAGTTTTTTGGGGTCTTTTTCACATTTTTGTGCATTGTTATGTGGAATGTGAAAATAGTTACTATGGGACCTTACTTCGGTGGAGTTTGCACAGTAGTCATCACATTCCAGCTCTGTTTCAAAGCTCTGATCAAATGATTCAGTTCTTGAAACTACACTTTCTTCCTTGCACCTGAAAGAAGAAAATGCTACTATATCATCTTTTTATTTTATATATTTTATATAAAAGCCAATCTAGAATGGATATCTTCAATTGGTGGTTGATATTTGTGGTTTATCCATCACCTTTGGTCAGGCATTGCTTGCATCTTCTGTACTGTCACCTGTTGTTACATGAATAACATTAGATGGATGCATCCACATATAAGATGGAATTTCATCTTCTACTAGGCAGTGCAATTTTGGTTCATGCACTATTCATTTTCTCTTTTGCAGACAGGACAGGTTGGGGAGACTTGGATTTTAATGTCCAGTAATAAGTCGATAAGGCATCTAATAGAAGTAATTCATGTCACATAGTTGCAATTTATTGTGCATTCTTCAATTTCTGTGCATGTCTAAAAGATCGAGAGAGAGAGAGAGGACTAACATGCAAAATTATGCCAGAGTCTGCTGGCATAAGGGGCAGAGATAGTAATACTGGTTCTGTCATCTCAGCCAATTCTGCAAAATCCATTCCAACCTCTCCCAGAAAACCTGACTTTGATGATTTCTGAGGGACCAGCAATTCAGTTCAGTGTATATATAATCTTATTATTATACCAAAGAAGGGAGATGGAGTTGGTTGGTACTTACAGTCGCCACAATGAAGTAGTATATCTTTTCTTGAAATTTTCCTGCCTTTGAATCTCTCTCTAGCTTCATCGTTTCATATATAGGATTATCCCATGAGCAGGTTCCTTCAATTATTGCAGCTTTTCCCAATTTTACAGTCGGCCTTCCGGCATCTGCCGGAACCAGTGAAAGTATGAGGCCTTTTGCTTTTAGTTGAGGCACCTGAAGCAGTGTAGCAAGACAGGAAATTGACCGACTCATAAGATAAACATTTTGCAAGACCTAAAATTAATTTATAGCTTTAAGTTGAAGTTACACGTTACCTGTGTTGCTTGAAACTGCATTTCGAATACAGCTTTGATCTTCTCCTTTTTCGATTTTGCAGACTTGAACATGATTATCCTACTATTTGGGGTTTAAAGCAATGCTGACTTGTTGACTTCTCCCCTAATTGGGTGTCTATAGACTATAGGTTCGGATCGAGAGAAAAGCTGTCATTTCATGAAGATGAAGAGATGCAGATGCTTTGCCTGGTATTCAAGTTCAAAGGAGAAGAAAAGATACCAGAAACATTGCCAATATTAAACAAACTCTTATATGGGTACACTTCCTGACAAATAATTTTTTTTGTTTATCTGGAGTAAATTTCATGTATACTAACGTATATAGAATCACTCTTAGATGGAATATTATTATTATTTTATTATTACTATTACCGTTATACTGTAATAATTATTTATTATCTATTTATTTATTCATTATGGTTAGTCTCTCTAACAGGTACGAGTCAACTCTTTTTTTATTATCCATCACTTCCGATCCAGTGGTGAGTTTGGGCGTCATTTCTTCCCTTTATTTTAATTTTTTGGGCATTAAATTCAGGATCAAGTATGGATGTAAAAATGGTGCTTTGACAGGTAAGGTCGTAAGGAGGAGGAGAGGTGATAGGTGTAAAGGGGATTCTGCATTTATGGTTGTAGAACTGGAAATCTACGGAATTTGTTAACGTTGGTACACTCTTTTCAAGCTGTCGCTGTTAAGCCATAAATGCCCACCTGACACCTGTTAAGGCAAGCGGAGCAACCACAATAGAGCATAATATAGGGTTAATGTAAAAAGAAATAAGAGTAACATTATCAGTTGAGGATAATGTGGAGAGAA